TTTGGGATGAGAGAGGGGAAGGGGCAGGCTAGCAGGGATCATTTGGGATGAGAGAGAGGGGGAGGGCAGGCTAGCAGAGATCATTTGGGATGAGAGAGAGGGGGAGGGGCAGGTTGGCAGAGAAAATTAAGGATTGAGAGGGGCTAGCTAGCAGAGACCCTCTAACCCCGATTTTTCCAGGAAGACGACAGTGGCACGCGCTCGCGCTCCCGTTCACGCGGCGACCGCCGCAAGCGCGACAACACTCGCACTGCTGGAGATGACCGGACAGCGGAGAGCCGCCAGCAGACCGACCAGAGCGCCCGCCGCAACCGCAACAAGCTCAGCAAGGTCAGACTAAAGGGACAGTGACAGCAAGGCGTACGTTTGTAGGAGAAGAAGCGCCCTGTCGACTCTCGAAACGCGCGCAGCAGCAGCGCCGTCCCGTCGAAGGAGTGCACCCAGCAGCATGATTACCCGATGGTCGGTTTCTCTCTCGCTCTATGTCTCTCTCTCTCTCTCTTTCTCTCTCGCTCTCTCTCTCTAGCTCTTTCTCTCTCTCTCACTTTCTCTCTCTCTCACTTTCTCTCTCTCTCACTTTCTCTCTCTCTCACTTTCTCTCTCTCACTCTCACTCTCCCTCTCTCTCTCGCTCTTTCTCTCTCTCTCGCTCTCTCTCTCTCCTCTCTCTCTCTCTCTCTGTATCGCCTCTCTCTCAAAAATAACTGAAATTTCCAGAATTTCCCGACGTCAAAGGACAAGACGCGCGACATCTCGCCGAGCCCCAGGCGCAGTGGCAAGAAGCCGAAGAAGCCCTGAAAAAAACCAATACCTCCCCACCGTTTCGAATACAATTCCGTGTTTCGTATCGTATCGTATCGTATTGTATTTTCCGTTTCATTGTCTCGAGTGGAATAAATGGCTTTTCATGGGAATTTTATAGTACCTTAATGAATGGAGAACGAAATACAGTAAGAAAATCGCCCACTTTAACTTTGAAGGGGCCAAGAAGCCTGGCTCGGCCCCGCTTCGCGCTGATTCCTGGCAAATAGCCAGATGGGGCTGCAACGCATGTGCTCCTGTCCCAATTTGGAGGTGAAAATGCAAGAAATGGAAAATACTGAGGAATTTTGTTTAGAAAATTCGTCGAAGATCTTTTCTGCAGCGCATTAATCTCATTGAAATTTTGCGGAACCACTAATTTTTTTGAAACATGTTTTCGGATGATGGAAGTTCTTTGATCAAGATGAGCAATAAATCTCTTAAAAATTGATGGTAAATCGGCGACAAGCCTGGCCTAAAAGACCAAGAAGCCTGATCCATGCCCCTTGGGCGTTGGTTCCTGGCAAATAGACAGATGAGGCGGCGACGCCCCCCTCATCTGTTCCTGCACCAATTTGGAGCTAAAATGCCAGAAATGGAAAATTCGGTGGACTTGCCTCGAGAATACTCTTTGATCAATTTTCCCGGGTTGTAAAGAGAGGGATTTTGATAAGAGATTAAACTCGTACAAATTTTCCGAAACCAGCGATTTTTCGAAACATCTTGTCGCACGTTAAAAATTTTTTGATTGCGGATGATCGTGCAAAACCTTATGTTGAAGAGGCCACCAGCCCACCTTAAAGGGACCAAGAAGCCTCCAGCCATCCTGAGTGTTTATTCCTGGGAAACAGCTGGATGAGGCCGCGACGCGATCGCCTCCCGATGCGCTCCTTTTCCCATGCGGATGGGAGAATGTCAGAATTTGAAGATTCTAAGCCATCCTTTGAGAAATTTCGAGGTTTTTTTGGAGGGTTTTCAAGGGATCAACTGGCAGAAGGTATTAACCTCGCTAAAAGCTTCCGGAACAACTAATTTTCTGAAACATGTTTTCCTAAATTTGATTGTTTTTTATTGAGCATGAGCATTGGGTCTTGACCTTGGAGCGGTGACCAGCGTATTCATAAGGGACCACGAAGACACTCAGATGACTTTATACCCAGATACGACCGCAACCCCCCAGGTCTTCTGTCCCAATTTGGAGGTGAAAATGGAAAAAATGGAAAATGGAGAATTCTGTGAACTTGAGAAAATTCGTTGATGGATTTTCCCGGGTTGTAAAGAGAAGGAATTTGGGGACCATGACATTTCAGCAAGCGACAATACAGCGACCGGGTTATCATTTATGGTTTCAGCATCCGAAAATTGTTCAAAAGCCGTCCAAAACACGAGAAAACCCTCGAAAAGGCATATTTTTTGTGTGTTTCTTATTTTTTTATGGTCAAAGTTGCTGAAATGTCGTTTTAATGGCGTACCTAAAAAGACGCAAGTTGCTGCAATGTCGTTTTTGCCAGTTGCTGAAATGTCATGGTCCCGGATTTTTAAAAAAAAAGTAACCTCGTACAAATTTTCCAAAACCAGCGATTTTTCGAAACATCTTGTCGCACGTTAAAAATTTTTTGATTGCGGATGATCGTGCAAAACCTTATGTTGAAGAGGCCACCAGCCCACCTTAAAGGGACCAAGAAGCCTCCAGCCATCCTGAGTGTTTATTCCTGGGAAACAGCTGGATGAGGCCGCGACGCGATCGCCTCCCGATGCGCTCCTTTTCCCATGCGGATGGGAGAATGTCAGAATTTGAAGATTCTGAGCCATCCTTTGAGAAATTTCGAGGTTTTTTTGGAGGGTTTTCAAGGGATCAACTGGCAGAAGGTATTAACCTCGCTAAAAGCTTCCGGAACAACTAATTTTCTGAAACATGTTTTCCTAAATTTGATTGTTTTTTATTGAGCATGAGCATTGGGTCTTGACCTTGGAGCGGTGACCAGCGTATTCATAAGGGACCACGAAGACACTCAGATGACTTTATACCCAGATACGACCGCAACCCCCCAGGTCTTCTGTCCCAATTTGGAGGTGAAAATGGAAAAAATGGAAAATGGAGAATTCTGTGAACTTGAGAAAATTCGTTGATGGATTTTCCCGGGTTGTAAAGAGAAGGAATTTGGGGACCATGACATTTCAGCAAGCGACAATACAGCGACCGGGTTATCATTTATGGTTTCAGCATCCGAAAATTGTTCAAAAGCCGTCCAAAACACGAGAAAACCCTCGAAAAGGCATATTTTTTGTGTGTTTCTTATTTTTTTATGGTCAAAGTTGCTGAAATGTCGTTTTAATGGCGTACCTAAAAAGACGCAAGTTGCTGCAATGTCGTTTTTGCCAGTTGCTGAAATGTCATGGTCCCGGATTTTAAAAAAAAAGTAACCTCGTACAAATTTTCCAAAACCAGTAATTTTTCGAAACATGTTTTCGCATGCTGGAAATCCTTGATTGCGGACGGGCATTGATTGGATCGTGAAAAAACTGATGATGACGGGGCCACCAGCTATCATAAAGAGGCTAAGAAGCTTGAACCACTCTACCTCAGCGATGATTCCTGGCAAATAGCCAGACACGGCCGCAACGCGACCGCCCACGCATCCGTTTCTGTACCAATTTGGATTCTCCAAAATACTTTCTTGGATAAACTCCTTTGATCAATTTTCCTGGATTTTAAAGCTGGGCAGACACTGGGAAGGGAGAGAACACAGAAAACGCTGGGGAACAAGGTATTAACCTCGTTAAAAGCTTCCGGAATCAGTGATTTTCTGTAACATGTTTTCGTCGATTTAATTTTATTATTGAGGATCAGCATTAGATCTTGATCCTGGAGCGGCCAGCATCGTATTCAGGGGCGTAGCCAGGAAAAAAATTTCGGGGGGGGGCCCCAAAAAATTTTTCCAAAATACTCAAAAAACTGTAACGTGAAAACAGCGCCAACAAAATTTTTTGAAAAAGGTTACATAGCTCTACAAATAGCCGTAAAAACGTGAAAACATAGCGCCGCAGGCAGCAAAATTTTTGAGAAAATAAAAATCATAAGGGTCCCCGCTTATGAAATTTTCGGGCCCTGGCCGATTTCGGGGGCCGGGCCCCCGGGGCCGTTATTACACTACGTCCCTGATCGTATTCTTGAGAGACCAAGAAGCATACCCAGATGACCTCCTATACTCAGATGCGGTCGCCACGCATGCTCGTTTAAATCGCGAAACACATAGTCCCGGAATCCCATGATCGATACTTGGACAAAAAGCACGTACAACCTATTAACGTCGTTGCAATTTCCTGGAACGAATGACTTTAAGCAACATGTTTTTTATGCTTGACTGTGAGTTTTAACTGCTGTTAAAGCGGTTCCCAAGATGCCAAGAAACGCTCCCTCTCTCCCCGGCACTCTCTCCCTCCCTCTCTCTCTCTCTCTCTCTCTCTCTCTCTCTCTCTCTCTTCCATCGCTCGCATGTTTTTACACCGCGCATTCATAACAAACTTAAATCATTCATTCAAAAGAAAATAGAAGTAGATGATCGTTGTTATCGCATTAATATAGCACGAGTTGAAGACGTTCAGCCGCTTATTCGGTGGCCGACTCGGAGGTGGCGCTTGATGGGGTACACGAGTCGGTGGTTGATCGGAAGGGGGCCAACGCGAAGAAGGAGGGAGCCGAGGGGTGGGGCTGCAGGCGGAGACGTCTGAAATGAAAGGAGTAGGCTAGCAGAGATCCTTTGGGAAAGGGCAGGCTAGCAGTGATGGTTAGAGAAATCTACCTTTTCGCCGAGAGACAGGCCAAGAAGTTGACCAACGCGAACACGCCGGCTAGCACGATCAGCACCAGGTGGGCGCCGAAGACGACGACTTGGAGGCTAGAAAAATGTGTTTCATCATAAAAATCGCAGCCCCCCCGCTAACAGTCCAGTCCCCGTTGCTCTAAAATCTCAGGTAACCCACGATGAGTCGTCCTCCTCATTTTCCGGCGCATCGCCCATCACCGGCCGGGCAGTTTTTCGGCGTGAAAATGTATTTTTTCACACGAAAATTGGAATATTCAATTTTTCGAGGTATGTAAATGGTATCGATATGGAAATAACCATTTATTCCTGGAGACAGCTGTGCAACTCGTGTAACGCAATGACAATTCGTGGAATCGATGAGGAAAATCGATCAGCGGGTTTTCGAGGGCGGCGCACCGGGACTCTTCGAGTTGGAGGTGGTCGAGTCTGGAAAAGGGAGGCGTTGCTCTCTCTCTCTCTCTCTCTCTCTCTCTCTCTCGCTTTATCTCTCTCTTTCTCTCTCTCTCTCCGTCTCTCTCTCTCTATCGCGCCCTCTCCCTCTCTCACTCTCCCTGTCTCTCTCTATGTCTCTCTCTCCAGCTCTCTCTCTCTCGCTCTATCTCGGTCTCTCCAGCTCGCTATCTCTCTCTCTCTCTCTCTTTCTCCCTCTCTCACTCTCCCCGTCTCTCTCGATGTCTCTCCCTCTCTCTCCAGCTCTCTCTCTCTCTCTCGCTCTATCTCGCTCTCTCCAGCTCTCTATCTCTCTGTCTCTCTCTCTCTCTCTCTTTCTCCCTCTCTCACTCTCCCGGTCTCTCTCGATGTCGCTCCCTCTCTCTCCAGCTCTCTCTCTCTCTCTCTCTCGCTCTATCTCGCTCTCTCTCCAGCTCGCTATCTCTCTGTCTCTCTCTCTCTCTTTCTCTCTGCCTCTCGCTCCCCGCCTCCCGCCTCTCTCTACCTAGCGGCAGGCTAGCACTGATTCTTTGCGGAACTTGACCTACTTGGTGTCTTGGGCGTCTTGGCATTGACGGGCGGCTTCCGCTTCTTCAGCCAACAGTAGATGGCCACGCACGTCGCGATGATGAGCAGGATCAGGAGGGGCAGACCGATCAGCACGTATTTCAGCGGTTCCCTGAAAGACCAGTTTTCCCCACATGATCTCTGCTAGCCTGCCATCAAGCCCAAAACCCACTGCTTCTCCTCCGGCGTAACGGAGTCGCCCACCGGTCCCGTCGTCTCTCCCGGTTTGGCACTAAAAATGAGTTGTCGGTACTTGCGCTTTATCGGGGGTGTTCGGAATGTTTTAGATCGTTTCCACGTCAAATACGATGAAATTTTACTAAAAACACAACTATGATACCTCCCCCCCGATAATGCTCAAGCGCCAGAATGCACTCACTCCTTGCCGCCGGGTTGCCCTGTATTTTGTGGATTTCGGGAGGGCTTTCGCGTGGCCGGGGGAGGCTAAAAAATTCGGCTGTAAAAACATAGAAAGCCTACGGGTTTGACGTCCGTGTCGGCGTCGACGTAGCCAATGTAGTTGGACTCCGAGCACTTTGTCGCGTTCTGAAGTCAGTCAGGCTTAGGTTTGGCTTAGGCTTGGCTTAGGCTTGGCTTAGGTTTGGCTTAGGCTTGGCTTAGGCTTGGCTTAGGCTTGGCTCAGGCTTGGCTTAGGCTTGGCTTAGGCTTGGCTTAGTCTTGGCTTAGGCTCGGCTTAGGTTTGGCTTAGGTTTGGCTTAGGCTTGGCTTAGGCTTGGCTTAGGCTTGGCTTAGGCTTGGCTTCAGGCTTGGCTTAGGCTTGGCTTAGGCTTGGCTTAGTCTTGGCTTAGGCTCGGCTTAGGTTTGGCTTAGGTTTGGCTTAGGCCTGGCTTAGGCTTGGCTTAGGCTTGGCTTAGGCATGGCTTAGGCTTGGCTTAGGCTTGGCTTAGGCTTGGCTTAGGCTTGGCTTAGTCTTGGCTTAGGCTCGGCTTAGGTTTGGCTTAGGTTTGGCTTAGGCTTGGCTTAGGCTTGGCTTAGGCTTGGCTTAGGCTTGGCTTAGGTTTGGCTTAGGCTTGGCTTAGGCTTGGCTTAGTCTTGGCTTAGGCTCGGCTTAGGTTTGGCTTAGGTTTGGCTTAGGCTTGGCTTAGGCTTGGCTTAGGCTTGGCTTAGGCTTGGCTTAGGCTTGGCTTAGGCTTGGCTTAGGCTTGGCTTAGGCTTGGCTTAGGCTTGGCTTAGGCTTGGCTTAGTCTTGGCTTAGGCTCGGCTTAGGTTTAGCTTAGGTTTGGCTTAGGCTTGGCTTAGGCTTGGCTTAGGCTTGGCTTAGGCTTGGCTTAGGCTTGGCTTAGGCTTGGCTCAGGCTTGGCTTAGGCTTGAAACGAACCGGCCGCTTTTTCTTCTTCCCCAATGAGACGATGCCGATGAACAGCTTGGCGAGCTTGGCAGGCTAGCAGAGATCATTTGGGATGAGAGAGAGGGGGAGGGGGCAGGCTAGCAGAGATCATTTGGGATGAGAGAGAGGGGGAAGGGGCAGGCTAGCAGAGATCATTTGGGAAAAATTACCGTAGCGGAACTCATTGTCCTGGAGTTCGAATATCTCGCTGAAGAAGACGCGGCTATCGCGGTCAGGAGATGAGCTAAAAAATGATAAAGTTGATCAATTTGAAAACCCACTTGAAGTCGTCGGCATGGATGTGGCAGGGTCGGGGATTTTTGTTCTTGGCGATCGGCGGCTCGGTGACGCTGCAGTAGAAAATGGTGCCTGAAAGGAACGGTGCCGCGCTTCCAAGATGATCTCTGCTAGCCTGCCTACCATTTGCGGCTGTGAACAGCGGCAGGAAGAAGCCGAGCAGGAGCATGGCACCTCGGAAAAGCACCCAAAAACGAATTTTGAATTTTAGAATACGCCAGAATGCAAATTCCAATCGATGCAATCTATCAGCGAGAGAGGGGAGAGAGAGAGAGCGAGAGAGAGAGAGCGAGAGAGAGAGAGAGAGAGAGAGAGAGAGAGAGGCTGACCAGCAGAAATCCTTCAGAATAAATTTTTCCATCACAACCCGTTTTTTCATATTTATTCCAGAACACCAGAGTAACCCGGGAAAGTTTTCTATAATTCTTCGGCCCGGTTCACCATCAAGCTGGCGTCGTCTCGGGGGCTTTTTCAGAGGCAGTCGGCGGGTCCGACGGGACTTCAGAGTTGGAAGTGGCGCGCTCTATAAAGCGTGTATTCTCTCTTTCTAGCTCTCGCTCGCTCCCTCTCTCTCTCTCTCTCTCGCGCTCTCTCTGTCTCTATCTCTCTCTTTCACTCACTCTCTCTCTCTCGCTCCTCTCACCCATTTTCTCTCTCACTCTCTCTCTCTCTCTCACTGTCTCTCTCGATCTCTTTCTCACTTGCTCACTCTCTCTCTCTCTCTCTCTCTCTCTCGCTATGTGTTAAACGCCACCAGAACCCTCAAGCGTCTCGGCCCTTTTCGCAATTCTGAAGTACGCGCAGGCAAGGACGGTGATGAAGATGGTCAAGGGAATGGCGATGATCATCCCGGTATAATAGTAGGTCTCGAAGGGTCTGAAAAGCGAAGCGAAATGCTCTAAAAATGATTTGCGTTTTGTTATGGCGCCGTAGAAAATCACAGGGAAAAATTTGGTAAAGGAAAGTAAAAACGAAAACCGCGCAGGTTGGTCCCCCGGCCAATCCCGCAAGTTTTGTATCTCAGCTGCCCATGGTGCTACAACGCTCTAAAGGATACCAAAATACGCGTCTTGGCCTGGGGAGTATTTTGGTATACTTTACGGCCCAGTAGCACATCATTGAGCTGAGATACAACAGTTGGAAGTCCGAGGAAGTTCCACGCGTCCCCCGTCAACTGTCCCCCCCGAAAACAGTCCAGAACCGCTTATTTTGAGCCATCCAGTGTTTTAATTGGTCACCCACATATCATCAGCCTGCACGGTGGGGTTGGTCGAGTTTGTGGGAGAGAACCAGGGAGGGTACTGTAAATGCCATTTCCACTAATAAATTTCAGCTACCACGTGCTCCGTGAGGTTCACGTTTTCCGGATATAAGCTGTAGTACTGGCGCCAAACATCGGCATCTAAAACATGCGGACATCAGCGTCAAAACCTGGGCTAGGCGAACAACCCAATCTTGGTGGCGTTGTGAATTAAAAAGCTCGTACTGGTCTACCCGTCCCCGCACTCACCGGGTTCAGTTTCTTCGTCGACTGGACGGGACCATTCGCTCAATGCTGGAAAGGGGGGTGCTTTTGGTTAGACTCTAGTTTACCCCCCCTAGCCGACCCCCACCTACCGTATCTCGGTTCCCTGTTCATCTACAGATGTGTAAAGTATACCAAAATGTTCGTCTTTCTCTGGCGAGTATTTTGGTATACTTTACACACCTGTAGATGAACAGCGAGCCGAGATACGGTAGGTGGGGGTCGGCTGGGTGGGTTATCTGGAGTTTAGCCTGGTAAGACTCTAGTTTACCCCAGCCCAAACTTTTCCGCGGTAAGTCCTATTAATGCGTGGAATATATCAAAATGTTCGCCGTGGTCGAATTACTAGAAAAAAAAGTTGTTTCCTGACGGCAAAAATCGTTAGAAAATTTTTTACAAGATTTTGAAAGTTGAAAAGATTAAGCCGCTGTGCTTCAATGTACCAAGAGCCAAAAACTCATATATTTTTGTTTTCCGCTACTTTTTTCGACTTAAACGCACTGTAGGCTGATTTTCCAGAGCAAGAGCGGCATTTTGGTACCATTGACCGCTCTGTACGTCAAAAGATAGCTGAGATACGAAAACTCACTTTGGTACAGCAAAAATTAACTAAAGAAAACCCAGACTTATAATTGTTATAAAAAATTTTCTAACAATTTTTGATGTAAGGAAACCACGTTTTTATAGTAATTCGATCACGGGGAACATTTTGAAATACGCGGCGCATTAATAGGACGTACGGCTGAAAAGTTGCGGCTGGGGGGGGGGGGGTAAACTAGAGTCTAGCCGGAGACGGTTTCAGACACAAGAAACGATGGCAAAATACAAAAAACTCACTGCAGTAATCCCCTTGCCGTGTCACATTTAGCATGCACTTCAGCAGCGGGTAGGCCCTATTCGCCTCGGCGTCCACGCGAAAAACGCACCACTTGCCAATGCGGGCCTCCCAGTCCTCCGGCGTGCCGTCCTGGAAATTTCGAGTCCTAGACTTCTCTTTTTTTGCCACCTACCCAATGCCATCCGTGGATTGGATGAATGTCGGTTGGCCAAATTTTGTGGCACTTGCACACTAAAATTCTAGAGGAGGTAAAAATTGGTAAGACTCCAGATAACCCATCCCCTCCAGCTGACCCCTTGTATCTCGGCTGCCTGTTCAGCTACAGGGGTGTAAAGTATACGAAAATGTTCGTCTTGCTCTGGCGAGTATTTTGGTATACCTTACGCACCTGCAGATGAACAGGGAGCCGAGATACGGTAGGTGGGGGTCGGCTGGGGGGAGGGCGTAAACTGCACTTAAAGACTACATGGAACGCGCACTGTCACCCTCTGGGGTTTGGGGCGTCTCTGACTCCCCTCCCCACTTGGCCCTGTGGTGTAGTGGCTAGCGCGTCGGACTGTGGAGCGAACCATCGCGGGTTCGACTCCCACCCGGTGCGCAACTTTATTGCTCTCAACGGAATTTCATCATTCTGACAGTCTTTAAAGGGCACGTTCAGGAACGTTTTTTTTGGAAAAAAAGCAAAGATTTTGCCGCGGCCGGGAGTCGAACCCGGGCCTCCCGATTGGGAGACGCGGTCGCATGCCAGTCAGCCACAGGTGTAACCTGGCGAGGGGCCGAAGGGCGCGCCCCACCCCGGAGAGGAGGGGATTGGCCTCCCACGGCACGGGCAGGGGGGCGCGCGCGGTCCCAACGTCCATAGGGTGTACACGTTGGGACGAGTACACGGCCCCTCCCTGAACGTGTGCTTTAAAGACTACCAGAACGATGGAACGCGCACTGTCACCCCGAGGGTGCTGCCCCCAAGAACGCGCAGAGAGATGCGTCATTAGTGGTGCCCCGTACTCGGCAAAGGCCCTCTGGGGTTTGGGGCGCTCTGACTCCCTTCCCCGCTTGGCCCTGTGGTATAGTGGCTAGCGCGTCGGACTGTGGTGCGAACCATCGCGGGTTCGACCCCCGCCCGGTGCGCAACTTTATTGCTCTCAACGGAATTTCATCATTCTGACAGTCTTTAAAGGGCACGTTCAGGGACGTTTTTTTGGAAAAAAGCAAAGATTTTTGCCGCGGACGGGGGTCGAACCCGGACCCCCCGCTCGGGAGGCGCGGGTGGATACCAGTCAGCCACAGGTGCAACCTGGCGAGGGGGCGAAGGGCGCCCGACGCCGCAAAGGAGGAGAATGGCCTGTCACAGCACGGGCAGGCAGTGCGCGCGGTCCCAACGTCCATAGGGTGTACACGTTGGGACGAGTACACGGCCCCTCCCTGAACGTGCGCTTTAAGCCAAGTGCCCACCGATGCATGTTTCTCGTTTCTCGGATTTGATGTGGAACATCACCGCCGGCGTCCACACCGTTTGCATTCCGTCGGGCCTAGAACAAAAGTATAGGGTGTGGCTACGGTAGAGTTTACCACCCCCCGCCCAGCTCCTCAGCCATAAGCCTTATTAATGCGTGGGCATCTCTGCAGTCTTGCCAAACTGTATAGCACAAACCACGTTAGCGACGACCGCGCCGGTTTCATCTCGCAATCCACTGGAAAAAAAGATGTGGGTTTGTGGTATCTGGAAACTTTTTAGGTGCAGTTTGCCCCCCCCAGCCGGCACCCACCTACCGTACCTCGGCTCCCTGTTCATCTACAGGTGTGTAAAGTATACCAAAATACTCGCCAGAGCAAGACGAACATTTTGGTATACTTTACACGCCTGTAGATGAACAGGGAGCTGAGATACGGTATGTGGGGGGTCGGCTGGGGGTAACCCGAACTCTAACGAAAAAACTTACCCCATGCTTCCTTCGACGTTCCGGGATACGGTATTTGCGCGTGAATCGGGGTCCAGCAGGCGAGCAGGAGAAGCCAGCGAGCCCACATGGCACTGGCTATTATCCGGCGTATCTTTGGCGGGAAAACCCGGCACGCGAAATATTTAACGCGAGAGCACCGGAAGCCCACGCTATTTCCGAGATATTCAGCGGAACTGTTGATTCTGTTTTTGCCACATGCTGATTGGCGCGATATTTGAGGGGTGTATCCATAAAACAACACGGCCTCTCTCCCGCTCTCTTGCTCTCCCGCTCTTTCTCGCTCACTCGCCCCTCTCTCGCTCTCTCTCGCGCTCTCTCGCCCTCTCTCGAACGCTCTCTCTCCCGCCCTATCGCTCTCTCGCTCTCCCGCTCTCTCTCGCCCTCTCGCTCTCTCTCTCGCTCTCTCTCTCTCTCTCTCTCTCTCGTTGTCTCGCTCTCTCGCTCTCTCTCGCTCTCTCACTCTCTCGCTCTCTCTCTCACTCTCCCCTCTCTCGCATGCAAAATCCAGTTTTATTCGGCAATACATCGGAACCCTAATCCAAAATGCATAGCAGAGTTTGAGGG